TATTGGGCACAAAATGGAGTGACTAAAGACGTCATGTACAATCAACTTAATTGGGGAACGTTGCATGAAATGAATCACCACATGGAAGGGACTTTAACGTCATATAATAACAGAGGGAGATGGGGGATGGACATCCATGAAACTAATAACAATGTGATGAATGCCATGTTCCATATTGAGTATACTAATGTAGCTGGAAATAGAGAAAATGGTATAGGAGACTGGGGATTTATAACTGATGGGTATTGGACAATGAAAGACGTTTATTTAGGAAACGTGAAGAGTTATATCCAATTAAGAAGTTATGTTGCTCCGGCATTCTCGTTTGGGACTCAAGCAGTAAAACAAGTCATTAAGAATTACTATAATTTGTTTTATGAAGAAGACTATGGCACTAAATTTAATAAAGACAGAAACGACACGGGAATTTACTGCTTGTTAACGGCAAGAGCTATTGAAAGAGACACTCGCTATTTTTGCAAAATATTTGGGTATGAAATCGACTCGGCAATAGCAAGTTATATCAAAGGTCTGAATTATAAGACATGGTTCCCGTTCTATAATTTATATTCAAATAGTTATGATGGGAATAAATATGGAAGAGTATACCATGTCCCTTATCAAATTAAAACAAGACTCAATTTCAATGAGAAAACTGCAATGGACAATACTACTACTAAGGTGAAGTTTGAAATTTTAGATGGATTTAAAAAGGGTACAATAGAGGAGATATCAAGTGGGGTGTATGACTATACTGCTAATTTCAAGCCAAATGAAACAGACACGTTTAAAGTGAAGATGACGTTTAATGTGAATGGTGAAAGTGGCTCTATCGTATTTGGCGGAGAATTTGTGACAACAAACAAGATGAAAAAAGTCGATGTGTATACTTTAGAATCAAAGCCTTCGAACATTCAAAAGGCTGAAGAGATGATAAAAGACAAAGAGCCCAATTCAATGAGAACTTCGTCATCTGCAGGAATTGCAGCGTACAACGACAAAGTTGGCGAAGTTGACAAATCGACTGTGAATATCATGAGAGGTAATTTGGTAGTACCCGACAGTGGGTACTACACCCTTTTTGTGAAATGTGATGATTACGGAAAATTAGAAGTGAACATGAGTGGCGAGTTAGAGAAGATAGGAGAGAGAGGTTCGTACTTAGGAAGTTACGACAAAACAAATGCAAACACTTTTAAGACTGTTGTACTCAAAAAAGAAGAAACATATGAGTATATAATAACTAACGTAAATACAGGTGGACAAGGCTCGTTTGATATTGGATATTGTTACCACGGAGACAGAGAGAGTGATGTAGATATGGACAAATGTACACCAGCTAATATCCCAACTAATTGGGTCTTCTGTGATGGTCTTACCAAAAGTGATGTGGAGACGCCTTATGTCTTCCCAGAGATAAAATACCCACGAAAGATTTATAATTTGAACTACAAGATGTACACCGTAAAAGACTGCAATTCGACTGTATGTGGCGTGGAGTGTCTTGAATTGCCTATTAAACACGACGACTCAAATGTCTGTGAGAACATTTTTGATAGAGACACTAACACTATTTATCACTCAAAATACTCGGGAAATGGAACACCGTTCCCAACCACTTATAAATTCAATTACACTGAAATAGCAAAATTTGATTCGATTGAAATGAAGTTCAGACGATCAGAAGACTCGTTTGGACTATTTAATATGTACTGTGGTAATGAAAAGGAAGAATACGTGAATATATTGAGTGTCACTGAAAATAAGACACAACAACAGAAGACCTTCACGTTTGATAAAATCTATGAGTGTAAGTACATCAAAATGGACGTCCAAAATAACGCAGCTGGTAATAAGTATGTCGTCTTGCAGGATTTCAATATGTTTTTATCACAGAGTTATAAAAATTTGGCGAAACCAACCGCCAAAACATTTAATGTTATTGGATTTAAAACTAAAAGCGCTTTGGGGTACTTTGAAAACGTTTTGCTTGAAAATGAAAAAGCAGGAGAAGGACAAATTGAGTTCAAAATGAAAGGAAGTAAACTCGGGGTGTTTGGAGAGTATAGAGGAGGTATGGGAAGCTGGACTTTATTGGTCGACGGAAAAGCTCCTACAATGGACCAGGAACTCCAATCAAACTCTAACATACAAAGAACATTATATCAAGTATTTACTTTTGATGAAGGGACACATAATATGATATTGAAAGTAAAGGAAGGGTTTGTCAATATCGACGTTGTTGGGTTTGAGTGAGTTTTTTTTGTTTTTTTTGTTTTATGTATAAAATAAAAAAATATGAACAATGTTGTTATATAAAAATAATTCAAAAGTTAATAATTTAATAAAAAATTAAGACAATAATTGAAAAGTGTTTAATAAACCCTTTATTTAAATAAACTGCTTTAAACTTATATTTTGTAAATAATAATTATTGTGGTAATATTAAATACACCAGATTGTTTGCTCGATAATTATAATTTTATATATTAACTGTTTTCGACAATCGATTAAACATTCATTTAATTTTATGTGTATTAAAACTTAAGAATATAATTGTTAAACTAAATAACGTGGTTTTAAAAAATAAAATCAAGATTTGAATAATTTAGTGGAATTTTGATTTAATTTTAACAATAATTAATAAAACTATTAAATTATATCATTTAAACATAAATTTCAATTTAAACAAGAAATAAATCATTATAATTGAAAATATTAATTTTTAAATGATGTTTTTAAAATTTAGCCAATGTTTAATACGAAGAAAAATGATATTTATTTAAGTTTTAAAATAAAAAATCATTGCTATAATAATTCAGTTTTAAAGTTCAACATTAAGATGGAAAACACAATTTGTGTTGGAATTGATCTTGGGACAACTTATAGCAAATGTTTTTAT